AAACATGTCATCACTGGTCAGATCAGGGAGGGGACCAGAGAAAATTAGAGTCCCTTATAGTTTTGGCAAACTTTTGTTTTAAAATTATTATTATTATAGGGAAAATAAATACTATTAGCATTACTGTACATAAGAAGGTTGCATTTTCACCTGCAGTTCCTAGACAGAATATAAAAGACATTAATAAACTTAAGCGCACAAAAACTACTGTGACCTGTTCTATGTTTCAGTTGTATTACTGATTTAGATCCAGTAGAACTTGTATACAGGCTTGATGTTTTAGAAGCAAAAAAGTGAACTTGAAAAAAAAAAAATTATAATATTTGTTGCAATATCACTATTGAACTGGCCTAACCCCAGAAATATAAATGCATTATATCAATATGTTTTAGTAAACACAGAACCAGTCCGGCTCTCGGTCTACAGGGAACTGGCTTCTCTCGTCCTCAGATTATATGACCCCGACATCCCTGGTTTATAGCATTAACTGTAAGATAAACGTTTCTGGAAAAAAGAACACACACAGAACAACTACAATAGTAAAACATAATGGATTAAAATTAGTAATAAAAAGAAACGGTATACTTCAGGGAGAAGAGAAGAAAAAAAGCAGGGTGTGTGGCGGGGTTTACAATTCTACATCGAAGCAACAAAATCAATAAAAGGTTGCCATTTAGAGTAGAAATTGTTCAAGTTTCCAGTTTTTGTATATATAATTTTGTCCACTTTCAGAAAGGACATGACCTCATTTATCCAGTTTGTGTTAGATGGGGATATAGTTGATTTCCAGTTAAAGAGAAGGTGGCTTCTTGCGATCACAGAGGTAAAAAACTATCACTTCCAAATCTCTTGCGGAGTATTGACTATATTGCTCTGGGAGACCAAAGATACCAGTGTGAGCTGAAGTATCAATAGTTCTTCAAAGTACATCAGACATGGTGTGAAGATAAATTTGCCAGAAATTTGTTAGGTCTGAGCAGATAAAAAACATGTGTGCACATGTGTCTAGTCTTTGAATAATGACATCTGAAATTCACTTTGAACCCTATCAAAGTCAGGCGGGCACATATAGAAGTTTTATGAATGGTTGTCAGAGCTGCCTCCCACCAGTGCTCAAGTTTTGGCAAACTTACACACCGAAGCAACACTAATTTTAGTGACCTCAGATAGGCATAACCGGGTGTCATTACCACCAGCGTGAATAACAATCTTACTGTATTTAACCTTATCCTTAGCCAGTAGTTTCAGGTAGGAT